TCTTGTTTATGTTAACAAATAAATACAAATTAATTTTAACTCCTAAAATTGTATTATAGTTCCTAAAAGTTTGGGTCGCGGCTTGTAAAAATGTGGGTCTCATGGCCAAACCAGTTGAGAACCCCTGCACTAGAGGACTGAAAATTTGCTAGAAGGTTAAATCTAGATCGAATAGCTTATATCATTGGTTCTCAAGCTGTGGTACGTGTAACACTAGTCGTACGCAGGCTTCCTTCTAGTGCTACACTGTGGAATATGTCATAAATACACATGCAAAATATATTTAAAAATTGATCACAAATGGTTATATACGAATATGATGACTATATTTATAAGGTCCAAGCAACATTTTCAGGTTCTGATGAAAAGGCTACTTTAATACATTACATTTAAGTCCAGGAGTATTAGTATAAATTTAAGAACAGCAGTCTACCATTTTCATTTAACTTTTAAAAGCACATTTTCATTAAAACGCTGGAATTTTATTTTGTTTGTTTGTTTTTTACCTGCAAGCACAGTACAGTGTTAATGTTTAAACTATTTATAATGTTTAAAGTGGCTGACAATAATAAATATTCCTAATAATAGGAATTAATCTGCCTTGTTTTTGAACTGTAGCTGCTTAATTGGGCCTACTAAACTACTGTGTTTCAATACAGTTCATTATGGTGGTACTTGGGAAGACTATTTTTTTTTCTGAGGTGGTAGTTGATGAAAAGTGTTTGACAACCGCTGGCTAATTTTATGTAGCGAAATATTAAACAAAACATGTGAGGCACTCTGAAGTTTGGCCAGAGGTAAAATGGTCGTGCCCAACTGAGCCTGGTTTCTCAAGGTTTTTTTTCCTTCACTTTGGTCAATTGGTGAAGTTTGTTCCTCCACTGCCGGCACTGGTTTGCTTGGTTTGGGATTTGTGGAGCTGCGCATTAATGGATTTGCTCTTCAGCGTTTGGACTTTCAGCAGGGAAAATTAAACCACATTGAACTGAACTTCAACTCTGAAATTGAAACTAAGTCTGTTCAGTTATCAATTTACTAGAACTTCGATGTGAAGCTGCTTTGACACAATCTACATCATAGTAGCGCTATAGAAATAAAGAATTGAATTGAATCTATGGATGGATGTGCTTTATATGACTTGATTTAATTGTTATCTAGTCTTTTTTTCGTTTGTTTGTTTTTTTAAAAATGCAGGTGTACACAAAAAAAAAAAACAATACTAAAAAACTGGTCTGTTAGCAGGTTTCAAATCAGTCACTAATGAGGCTTTTTAAGCTTGAACGCTGCCTTAAAAACGAATTGCCCGTGTAGAAAGTGAGGCAGTTTATATGCAAGTTTATGAGCCACTGAGGGACTGAAGTTTAATCTGCAGGACTGATCAAACCCAGAGAAGATGTTGATTGCGGGTCTCATAAAGAACAGAAGTGAGAAGCGCTAAACATGTTAACGGCGCGCTCCGAATGCACATTACTGCCTCCATAGAGACACTGAAGAGCAGCTGCGATACACCACAGCAGAGCCAAGATGAGAGAACACCACCGAGGCTCTCGATTACCATAAAACTTCATTTGGATGAATCAAGTTGACGGATTGAATGTGGATAATTAGATAATTAACATCGACAATCTGTATTTGCAATAAAAAGAAAAGATTAGGAAAATAAATTATATAGGCATATATAAGAATATAAATTGTGTGTGTGAGTGTGTATATATATATATATAAGAATATAAATTGTGTGTGTGAGTGTGTATATATATATATATATATATATATATATATATATATATATATATATATATATATATATATATATATATACACACACACATATATATATAAAATATATATATATATACACACACACACACACTCTATATATATATATATATATATATATATATATATATATTTTTATTTATTTATATATATATATATACATATATATATATATATATATATATATATATATACATACACATATATATATATATATATATATATATATATACACATATATA